TGAGTTAGCTAGATTTAAGTTTTTTGAGCGTCCATTATTTAGGAGCTGCTCTATCATAAACAATTACGAGATCGTAACTCCATTAACCAATCACTGACGGCGTTTCCAGCTAAACCCACCAATCATACACAAGAAATAGGCCTCTGCGTGTACTTGGGCAGCGATATGTACCTGATAGAGCTAAGAAATTATGGCCTCAGGAGCAGTTTAACTCTGAAAAATGTGAGTTTACAAACTTTTTAGTTGGTGTGTCTCAGTTCATATTATTTATGGAATGATTGCAGTAGGCAGAATGATCGATTCCGAAGTCAATTCCAGTCAGTTGAATAAATAAGGCTATCGATGGCACATCAAGTTAGTTGCGCACAGTGCGTTGTTTGACACAGCAAGTTGGTTGACTCGGAATTTTGATTAACACAATATTTTCGTTGACAGTTGTTTGAGACAATAAGTCAGTTGGCACAGTAAGTCAGTTGACACAATAAATCAGTTGATACAATAAATCAGTTGACACAATAAGTCAGTTGACACAATAAGTTGGTTGACGCATTCAGTTGGTTGACAAAGTAAGTTGGTGGCACAGTAGAAAGGTTGATTTAGTTAGTCAGTTGACGTTTTAATTTGAAGGCTTAAAAACTGCTGTCAGGGTTGAACAAGTCAATGCATTGCAGCCACTTTTCATAAGAAATTATATCAATGTCTCGGCGAGATAAACTGGATCATGTAATTCATTAACAAATTCCATTCTAAAACGCGTTTGACGAACTACAACGCAATATAAGTTTCCATCTGAAGCTTTTAAAACATACAACAATTTTCCACAATAGTAAAATTTGGCGAATTCATATTTGAAAGCACCTCGTCCACTCTGTTGCTTAATTTCAACGTCCCGAATCACTATTGAATATTACATTGTTTAGTTCAAATCTGAAGGCACGATATTTAGGCGCTAAAGCCGTACAAAGTTGGAGACGCGCGCACGAAGCGTGATGGAAGCTCGTTGCGATTTCTGTGGCAGTTCCTGGTCACGCTACGCCTGCCTGGCTGGCCGTTCTAATTTGAACAGATTCAATTTAACGAGATCAAGACATCAGGGCACGACTGGATCGAATGGAAGATTAGAAGTAGATAGAAGTTAGACAGATAGGACAGATTAAATATACCTTAAATATAAGTATATTTAAGGTATATTTCTTTTGAGGCAAAACATTTGCAATGAGGCCATTCTGGACAATATGTTACCCTACGATTTTCTTGTAAAAAAACTGTAAAAATTACTTTACGATTGCAAGAAAAAATAAGAATTCCAGGAAAAATACAATACGTTGTAGGGTATTCACAAAATCTCCCCCTCTGAATTTCGATATATGATCACAACATATCACTTATGACCAAAATCAGAAAGTTTGGTCACAATGGATTCTTTATCTTTTGATTGGTAATTGAGAAAAATAAATGAATATGATTGAGACATTATCATTAAAGTTATATAGTCAAAGGAGTGAAGTAGCCGACAAAGAGAATAAGTCAATAAGGATTCATCCGAATCAAAACAACGAAGCTATGGAACCTGACGCGCTTACTCAGTGAATTATTACATGCTTCTTTCCTGAGTAGTACACTTACTTATACACTATCACTTACTTATACACTATCACTTTCTTATACACTATCACTTACTTATACACTATCACTTACTTATACCATTATACACTGAGTAGTAATCGTAATGTGCAGGTAAATGATTACCGTGATTTGCATTAATTAAACAGATCACCACAAAAAATTTGATGACGATAAAAAATAAACAATCAAGAATTTTTCGCAAAAGCAATCACAGGAAGAATCACGCAAACCTACGTAAAGCTGAGGCTGATCGTAAGCGGCGTACCTTCGTTCAAAACAACGGAAGCTTCAAATCCGGAATTTATTTCGAAGAGAGGAAGTTCCTCGCAGGTTTCAATGAGAATGTTCATGAAACATCGAGGGAGTCTCAGTGAATTCGCAATCGTAGCCGGGATCATGGAAATCCGAGCTCTCGTTGTATAGGCCATGTACAAGTCTGCTCAATTATTATTCTCCGATAGCTACACGCAGCGCGGTGTATAAAACTGACTTGGATTCCATTGGTAATCTGTATGATAACACAGAGTGAGATAGCGAGTATTCTGTGAGAGAATGTGCGGAAAATATTAAGAATTCCCGGTTTAGTATAGAATGATTAACGTTTGCATCAAAGTTGGATATAAGTTTATTAACTTAAACCAAAAAGCATCTATTTCAACACCCCGTAGAAGTTATTAGACCCTTTTTCATTATCAAAAGCTCTTTTAAGCTCTAGAAGCTACCCCTGAAAAACCTCTAAGCCCCCACCTTTCATTTTAAAACCTTATGTATGCAAAAAAAATCACGACAGAATGAATACGATTTTGTAAATTTCCCTCGCTCGATTTTCCCTACAGAAAAACCTTCATAAATTAGAATTTCCTCATGTGTTTTCAAGTTCTACAAATTATGCATTCTCAATTTTAACACAGACAGAAATATCACCACTGTGGAAAATCTCTCCAGAATGGGTGAACAACATTACATGCCATTAAATAAACAGAACCCTTGTAGAACAGCAAGAAAATTCCACAGATTATTTGTAGCTTGGATCTTAAAGACGACCGACTGCCTTCACTAAGCCTCGCCAATTACGACCACAGCTAAGCTCTGCAGATAAATAGGACGCTATAGCTGGTGCGTAACGATGATATACAGCAACACATCAGTATGAACTAAACTGCGGTGTTTCACATGAAAAAATTATCTAATAATTTCATGAATATATCATTTTATGAAGATATCACGACGAAATTCCGTGACAATGAAGTCGTTTAATTTTATTGACAATTATCAATAATTGTTATGACTTGTTATGACGTACATCGTCATAACAAGTTATATCTATTGTAAGATAACTTATAGTACTAAGCAGTGCGAATTCGGAATCCATACAGAACCTCTTTAAGGAGCCATATGAAAACATTTGTAAAGATAGATATACTAGCCGAAATGAGTAGTACACTAAATGGAGCCCATTTTCTACTGAACCATGAGCAACAGTAAAAACAATAAGATCAGTACTCACTGCCGTGAGTGACAGAGAGCGCATTTTCTCGTGCATAAATAAATTTTCAAATTTTTCATTGCAAGACGAAAACGTGAAGTCACGGACGGACGGACATGACGATCACACTATAGCGCCTTTTTTCCATAAATGAGAAAATGTGCTAAAAATAAAATTTCTCACGAGCACATCCAGGAAGCAGATTCGAAAGTTGCGTCCATCGCGGTAATTTATCTGAACAGCAAATAACACTTTGTGTTGTTCTCCAACGTAAGTACATACGCTGCTGGAAAGACGCTAATTGACATTACATTTTTGGATTTGTTTCGAAATTAAGCATAAATAGGCTTGTGGTTATTCGTCATGAGAAAATTTTCACATAAATTAATATGAATATTAATTTAAATTATATGAATATGAAAATTTTTGCACAAATTAGCTGAATGCGGAATGAATTTCAAGTCGTTGATTATTCATATATTTAATTAAAATTTAACTGAAATAGTTCATAAATCCACATGTTCTATAAAAACATACACTTTGCATAATAAGATAAATGTCAAAGTTATCAAAATTAATGCTTCGGTTCTCCTGTGATATTTTTAACCTGGTATAAATTTATAACAACCGTTAAGTTAGAAACGATCATTTTCTCGATCTTAGTCTCAGCAGATTATCGTTCAACTAGGAAATATATTATATTATTATTGCATGTGCATCCCATATAAATGATATGTATGACAATCAATGGGTTTCAAAAATTTTAATTTAATACTATTGGTAGTTTGGCAATATAAAATTATTAGTTGCACCATCATTGGTCACTCATTTTCGGCGATTGCTCATATCGTTCATAGCATATCTGGGAAAATCATATCGTATGCTTTGGCATGATTAATTGAATTGTTAATCGAATAGTTGAGATGAGTGGTTAGATATGTATAGCTTACCTATAATGAAGTAGTTCAGTAGTATGATAATAGTGAACAAAACAAATCACTTGCTTAATAGTAGATAATCGAATAATTCAAACGTCGAAAAGTAGTTGATCAATTTGTTGAATTTTTAAATATTATGCAATGAACAATTTGAGTGGTCATAGAGTTGTTGATTATATAGGTAAGCGATTAAGTTATAAATAGTGAGATAGGTGGGTGATAAAATGCAATTCAATAAAATAGTTGCCTATGTTCACCGAGCCCTCATATATCTCACCAATCACTCTGCCGGTGAGGCCTATAGCGCCAGTTGAACGATGACTCATTTCCGCGCAAATTTTCAATAATGGCCGCCATATTTGCCACGCCGATTATTTTTAATTTGGCATTGGCTAGACGTCCAATAATGCAGCCAGGGAGATTGAATTAGGAGCTCTTGAACCACGCACTGTCCACAAATCGAGTGACCAATAGACCAGCTTTTATGATCTTAAAAGATATCCTTCGCTCTTACACTCATATTTAACAGACAGCCTTAATATCAATGTATTTATATAACTGGAAATGAAGTTAAGAAGAGAAAGAATAAAGTGAAAATAAAACTACGAAATTAATTCACTGCGAAATAATGAAGAAAGTGAATTGCAGTTGGTGACAGAACTTACAAATCAATGAAAAACTACTTTCTAATCAATGAAAAAAAATGTATATCATGCTACCATACATTAGCGCAAGCTCAAAAACTCCATAGATGTATAACAAGATAAGAAAAATTCAAATACACTCACAGAGCTAAGTTTACAAGAATTCGTTTATCAGGCCTCATAAACATTTAAGCAAAAATTTAACCAGGACATTAAGAAAGAGATGAATCATTCATTCACTTCAATCCACTTATAACAGCTCATCGAATTATAAAATTGTAATGAACTACAGTACAAATACCTCACCTGTCCAAAGTTGGTGAATGTTGCAAAACACTTGTATAAATTCACTCGATACACGAGATCCACTAAGGCAAAGTAGAAGCATACCTACAACACCCTAAGTCAGTAGGTTAATTTCATCGCTGTCTTTCTAGCGAATAAATCAATTGAAGAGCCACAACAACACACGCGAGACACACAAAACACATTAGTTTCCGCTGTCACATTTCAATCTAATCCACTAGAAATTATTCGCAATTTTCAACACGAAGACAAACCAACGTTAAAAAAATGCTGTTGATCGTAATTTTTCGCGTATCACAGACTTGATCTCAACACGACAACTTTGTGTTCATCTTCACGTAAGGTGCGTGAGCGCTTCGTCTTATCAGGCATGGAAGGTCAAACTGCGATGAGAAGAACACACGTGCACACCTCACCTCACCACTGCCAGGGCACGACTGAGGTGAAGAAGGCGCACGGTGTTCCAGCAGTTGTCTGACCAGCCTTCCAGGTTCAGGGGCACGTCTCTGCCCCGCGGCTACGCTCACACACCACACGGCCTCCGACCTGCTCATCTTCGGTCACTTCTCCATACCTGTCATTCCTGTTAGCTTCTCCATACCTGTCATTCCTGTTAGCTTCTCCATACCTGTCATTCCTGTTAGCTTCTCCATGCCTGTCATTCCTGTTAGCTTCTCCATGCCTGTCATTCCTGCTACCTTCTTCATGCCTGTCATTCCTGCTACCTTCTCCATACCTGTCATTCCTGCTACCTTCTCCATACCTGTCATTCCTGCCACCTTCTTCATGCCTGTCATTCCTGTCAGCTTCTCCATACCTGTCATTCCTGTCAGCTTCTCCATGCCTGTCATTCCTGTCAGCTTCTCCGTGCCTGTCATTCCTGTCAGCTTCTCCATGCCTGTCATTCCTGCCACCTGCTCCGTACCTGTAAATCATGCCACCTTCTTCATGCCTGTCATTCATGCCACCTTCTCCATTTCTGTCAATCCTGTAAGCTTCTCCATACATGAAATTCCAGCGGCTCTCCCCATAGTGTATCTGTCTTTCCTGTCAGCTTAGGCGTACTTGTGATTCCTGCCACCTGCTCCATACCTGTAATTCCAGCCACCCCCTCGATCCAAATATATTTTTGCTACAATCTTTTCTAAAGCCAGTTGCCCACGTCCTCAGTTCCATATCCAGTTATTCATACAAACTTGTATCTACTCTGAACTACTCGTGCACAGTTCACCACATCCGCTACCTCATCGGGGATCAGCTATCCCGACCAGCCTTGGGGAAGGTCATCATGCCAGTGTGGTGACGTACGTGGGTGAGATGAGGGGCGTGATGAGCAAATGTTGAATAAAACGGTGAGAATGTTGTGGGAGTAATAGATGAATGAGTATTGAGGAGCTTATTGGAGTAATTATTGTATTGAGAGCCTGATTGAAGGGATGAATGAGAAAGTATTGAGGAAGTGATTGAAGGAATGTACAAGCAAGCATTAAGGAACTGAATAAAGGAAGAACGGACGAGAAATACATGAAATGAAACAATTATTCCTGGGGAACTAATTAGAGTAATTATGTAGCGTCGAGTTGTTGATTGAAGGGAGGATTGATTAATAAATGAGGTGCTGACTTTAAGGAGGAATAATTACGTAGATATTGAGTAGATAAGTACCGAAATGAAATAATTAGTATTGATCCGGAAGTATAGAATAGAAAGTATTAGGTATCGATTGGCTAATCAAATTCATAAATAATTGATTATTCGGAAGTTTATTACAATGATTTTAATAATTTGTACTGCAGAGTTGATGTGGAGATCAATCTTCAAACAATTTTAGTGATAATTTAGTCTAAGTGAACGTAGTGTTGAAAAGGTGGTTAAAGTGATAACTGGTAAACATGAGGAAGTGAGAAATAAATGAACTAATAAAAATGTTATTGAAGAGATAAACGAATTGATTTATGTAACGGGAAACACTTATTCGGAATCATGGCAATCATGTCAAAGAGATGTATGAATAGCTTGCTGAGGATGTAATGTATGAATAGCCATGTAATGATTAAGTACCCTCCGCATCACCATCAACGATACCACCATGGACGCTTCAGCTGTTCAGCTCAGGATGCGTAAGTACTCGTGAATATGCTACTGCTAAAGTACAGAATATGCGCATAGTGGTTTGTTGGAGCTAAGTCAATAATTTAAATTTTCACAATAAAAGTTTTTATATCATAAAAAAGAGATATTCCATAAGAATAAATTATTCTTAATTCAAAGTTAAACAAGAATTTAAGTCATCCATATCTGCATGGCTGTCCATTGTTTATGCTCTAGATTGCTTGATTATGTATGGAATAGATGATACAAATAATGGCTTAAGAGAAGAGTGCTAAGTGGCCCGTTGCTGCGAGTGCCATGGATTCACAGATAGTAGAGTAATAATTACTTAGGTTGCTAAGAGTGCCATGGATTTTCTGAGAGCAAAGTGTTAAGTGGACAGTTACAGTGCCATGGATTTTCTGAGAGCAAAGTGTTAAGTGGACAGTTACAGTGTCATGGATTCTCTGAGAGCAAAGTGTTAAGTGGACAGTTACAGTGCCATGGATTTTCTGAGAGCAAAGTGTTAAGTGTACAGTTACAGTGCCATGGAATCTCTGAGAGTAAAGTGCTAAGTGGGCTCTTGGAGTGAAACAGTTCCTCTGAGAGTGAAGTGTTAAGTGGGCAGTTAGAGTGCTGCAGCTCAAGTCCTCCACTTCCGTATCGCTCGTAAGGATCGCCCGGCACTCGCCCACTGCTCAGCGAGCGGTACACGCTCACTGCTCGCTCACTCGCTCACTGCTCGCTCACTCGCTCACCCTGGAATGCGCGAACTTTGAACTTGGCTGCACCGAGCGGCCTTCGTTCCCACGCTGCTCCTCACATCCGTGAACATCCATTCTTCCCTCCTTGCTGAGCCACGCTTAGCTCTCCACTCTCTTCTTCCTTCCTTGCTGAGCCACACTTAGCTCTTCACTCTCTTCTTCCTTCCTTGATTGCCACAATTAATAATATATAATAATATTAATAAATATTATTGCCATAATATTTATAGTGTCTACATATATATATAGCTTCCGTGCTGCAGCTTTTCGTTACTCTATGTTTGATCTTATACATCAGTTTTATTTCCATGCTTTTCCACTATTGTATAGGAGTTTTTTATGCCTGTGAGGTTATCAAATGCAAATTTTACGTCTGTTTTACGGCTTTTCCAATTCGTCCCATAACGGTTATAATGGAAATAAATAGGCACAGACATGCAGTTAACCTAGATAAATAGTCCGATTAGACGAGTATTCCACCTTGACGCACAGCAAGCGTAGAGAATTAGTCTGCCTGGAACCTAATATTAAGCCAGCCTAGTGTAGTAGTCTGCCTAGACGTACAGCCACCCTAAAGAAGTAGCCTAGCCTAAACAAGAAGTCTGCTTAAACATACAGCCAGCCTAGACAAGTAGTCTCCCCAGATGTACAGCCAGCCTAGACAAGTAGTCTGCCCAAACGTACACCCAGCCTAGACAAGTAGTCTGCCCAAACGTACGGCCAGCCTAGACAAGTAATCTGCCCAAACGTACAGCCAGCCTAGACAAGTAGTCTGCCAAGACGTTCAGCCAGCCTAGACAAGTAAACAGCCAGCCTAGACAAGTAGTTTGCCCAGACGTACAGCCAGCCTAGACAAGTAGTCTGCCAAGACGTTCAGCCAGCCTAGACAAGTAGTCTGCCTAGACGTACAGCCAGCCTAAAGAAGGAGTCTATCTTTGATTCGTCGTATGCCCATACACGTGTTATTCCTACTCACGTATTACAATACTTATAAAAGATGAGCATTCACTGACGTCTGTGGTCGCCGATTCAACATCCATTATTAGTTGATATCCTCCAGTTGAATTGCTCATGCCAATGTTTATGTTCACTTTCATTGCATATGTTATGCGCCTCCAGTGCGTGGATTAGGTTGGACCACCATTCAAAATTTTTCTCCGTTTTCCTCTATTGAAGTTAGTGCATCACATGTCGATATTTTTGCTTCGGATCAGTTGATTGGTTCAAGTGTTGCCTTGCAAACTTTATCGTTTTAGATATAGCTACCAACGTTGAGGTTCCTGCGCTACGTATCACTTGAGTTTAGGAAAAATATAACTCAGTACTCACTGCAGTGAGTGACAGAGAGCGCATTTTCTCGTCGACGAAAACGTGAAGTCACGGACGGACAGACAGACGGACATGGCGAGCACAATAGCGCCTTTTTTCCATAAATGAGGAAATTCGCTAAAAAGGTTAGGAAAATTGGAAACCTAGCAAAGTTAGGAAACCGATGATCGATGTTTGCCAACCACGAGCTTTAATCACATGAGGATCACAATGATCATCGTGTGAATAAATGCATATGTGATGGTTGATAATAGCAATGAATATTTCCTTGAATTTAATTATGACCGCAAAATGAGAAATTGAAGTAGTGACTTGCTATAGTTAACCGATTATCGTAAAGTTATCAAATGCGTTATAATGGAAATAAACTTAATTGAATAATATGAAGTATACTTTTTTGGAAACGGTAATAAATTTCTTTGCTGAAAATTCATTATCTTTTCTTAAGCTTATATCAAGTATTAGTAAGTCATAGAAGCAAGCGAATATAATGTTATGAAAACCTTTATCGTGTTGACAAATGAAATATGAACCATAATTTTTGAGGCGTTTGAAAAAAATCGTTAAAAAATAACCGGTACAAAATTTGGTGGGAATTTCAAGTCATTTCGGTGCTTGCGCTCTGTTATTGTGTTATTCTCAATGTCTTTGCTGGGCTGAAGGTCCCTTCAAGATTAAATTAGATCTCACTTGTTTAAACTTTTGTTCGATACAATTTTTCTTGAACGTTGAAAGAAAGAATTAATTTGACTCTACTTAGCAGAGCAAGCAATCAGGACAAATTAAGTCCTTGTAAGCTCCGCGAAAAACTCAAGCAAATTTCTAAACTCTTTTTTTTTTGACACGAATTGAATGTTTTGCCGACTTTACAGAGGCAATAAAATAAACTCCAAAAGACTTTTGTTGTAATCGTTTGAAGCGTATTTAACTTTTATTGGAGCATCGGTCCAATGGATGCGTTTGGATTGTGGGTTCAAATATGTACGATTCATCTCATTAACTTGATTTGTTATATTAATTTAGGATAAATTTTATTCAACAAACGAGATATGACTGCAATTTTTGTTCTGCGAATCGGTGTCCTGATAAATCAGTGCCTTTTTAAATTAAAATGTCCCGATAAATTCTATCCATCATTATCCGCATTAAAATATTCCACGAGATTTGTTTTAAAATCAATCTAAAGAAACATTTTGAAGTCCAAAAGTTTCACTTTGTCACTCGAAAAATAATTATTGTAA